TGCAGAGGATAGAAGAGGCCATTGGATCCCCTGGAACTGGAGTTACTGACAGTTGTTAGCTGCCATGTAGGTACTGGGATTCGAACCCAGGTTTTCTGCAAGAATAACCAGTGTTCTTAACCACTGAGCCATCTCTCTAGCCCTACATGCTAATCTTGATGTAGCTTTTTATTTTATTTTTAAATATCACCTGTTGAAATTGCTAACTGTACATTATCAATGGCAAGAACATAGCATATATAAAAATGTAATGCATTTAACTGATTATGTACCAAGGAACTTTTGAAGATGAGGTTATTAAATAACAAATATAAACAGCCCAACACCTTGATTTGACAGAAGAAAGGACTTATCTCTATCCTTACATATTTCAAGATTTCAATATCTTTTTCCTAGAATTCTCACATATCTTGTTTCAAACCCTAATTTATTACCAACAGAACTTACAAACTGTCTTAAAACAAACCTCTTTTTTCTTACCATATATTTTTCTTCTGATAGTGCATGTTTTCTTCTATGTGTTTTCATCCGTTGCTGGTTTTCTTAGCTCCTCGCCCTCTGCTGTGACGTTTGTCTACTTTGGCTTTCGCTTGCCATCGCCTCTTCTGCCACTCTTTCATCTCCGTGTCTCTGTCTTCTACACAAAGGCGCCTCTACTACATGGACAAAATTGAAATGAAGCAACTTTCTGTCTCCAACAGCACAGACTTCCTACAGGGCTACAGTTTTCTACATTGTACACTAGTTGAAATAGCAACCATATAGAACTAATTACTAAGTTCACAATTACCAGATGTTGCTAAGTCTCTCACATGCTGAATTCTTAATGTTTAAAATCAGGGAGCTGGGGGAGAGGGCACAGGAGAAATTGGAGTGGGTAAAGAGTGGACAGGAATGATGTAAGTACAGTACTCGTGTATGAAATTCTTTTAAAAATTTAAATTTAAGTGTTGAAATTAGAATATTAATTTAAGTGTTGAAATTAGAATATTTAAAGCTACAACAACCAATGAAGCTTTCTTATGCAACAGAGTGCAGTACTCACAGAAGGCCACAATTGGCCAAGTTTTAGAGAGTAAGAGAAGGCAGAGTGTGCCACTGGGTAAGACTCCTACACTGAACCTCACCCACCCCCTGCTCAGGGACCATTGCAGAAGAGCCAGGGTAGGTCCATGATAATAGGAACATAGAAGTTTCAAGGCCACAGGAAACTTGCACATGTGGGCTTGTGGCAATGGTGGCATCAAGCACAGGACCCACGTCAACTCAATCAGACAAGGGCCCAGAGTGGAGAAAGGGAAATGGGCGATGGGCCAGCCGTAGCCTGGGGGAAAATCCGAACAAAATCACCTTCATGTTTTGGCTTATTAAAATATACAGATATATCAGCCATGATATAAAATTTAAAATATCTAAAAACAGATGATTCAAACAAAACCATGATACCAGTGAATGCCACAATCAATCAGTGACTGTTGTGTATGTGTTTACATCTGATACTATATTTAAATATTTAATTACAATCATGCATAATAAAACAATATCATACACTCTAGGAAACACCCCTAAAATATTGACTTCTAAAGGATTTTTCATTGTAGTCTCACTAATTTAACAAAGTTCCTGCTATTATCTGAGTGTGCTGAAATGCTCAGTTCCAGAAATCTTTTTTAAAACAATGTAATTTTTCAAAAATGTAATTTTGTTACTACAAGCAAGAAGAGCCACTCAAGTTACTTGGGTGTAAGGAGTAAGTGCTCAGTGCTGCAGAGACACAGGTTGCTTTCTGTCATTGCATAATTCCATTTCCAATGACAATGCTTTCCTTTGTTCCTTCAACACTTATACATTTCATCCAAATTGTTAGCAGTTCTCCCATTCATTCTTCCACATTCATTGGATTCCATGCATCGTCTTTCAAAGAATAACTATGGGGCCATAACTGGCAAAATGAAACTAGGTCACGGCAATGAGGGTTCTGCAATGTTATTCCATGAACGTAATAGAAAAGGGCAAGGCACCACCAGTGTGTTCTTTTTGCAAAACTTTTATGTATTCTTTTTATTGTATGTGTAGAAGTGTATTGCCTGCATGTATGTAAGTGCATCAATGTAGCGCAATGCTCTCAGAGGCCAGAAGATGTCAGATCCCCTAGACCTGGAGTTACAGATGGTTGTTAGCCACAATGTGGGTTCTAAGAATGAAACTCGGGTCCTCTGCAAGAGCAGACAGTGCTCTTAACCATTGAGCCATCTCTCCAGTCCCACTAGTATGTTCTTAATGATATTCAGATTAAAAAATGGATGAGAGGCCTGGAGGGATAGTGCAGCCATTAAAGGCTAAGGCTAACAACCAAAATATGTTAAAAAATGGATGAGAATCTGAGAATTGTATCAAAAAACATTCAAGATAATATTAGATCTCTATAAATCTAAGAATTTGTATACCAGAATTTAAACCTCACTCCAAGGCTAAATATTGTTCAAAATATTGCCAAGCCACAGTGCATTCTTTTTTCTCTGAGTTATAATGACTAAGAGAATGAATACCTATAGAGTATAAGATCAAAGCAACTCAGCTATACCTGTAGGTGCTGTGGCCTCTTTGGAGAGTTCCCATATTTTTTAAAGCATTCATAGTTTTACAAAGTGATGTGAAATAACGTTATTTCTCTATAACTCAAACTCAAGGATTTCACCTTTCACAGATTC